TTATACTCTAGTATTCCTTAAGAGCTATAGTTAATATAGTTCTTATTCTTTGTATTAATTATTATTATCTTCTCTATTACTAGTTCCTAGTTCCTAGTGAAATCCTCTAAATCTTTTATCTTTAAAGTATTATTCTAAATTTTCTTTATTTTATCTATTACTAATACCTATATTATTATCTTATATTAGTAGAGTAAGGCTAGGTAGCGGTTATATACTACCTTAGTTTCGTCTAGCTACTATCGCCTACAATTCTACTATTATAGCTATAGGTTAAGCTAGCTAAGCTATTAGGTTCTATAAACTTTAGCTTGTAGAAGTAGAATAGGATAATTATAAAGAAGCTTATTAAGTAGTTAATTAAAGTAGAGGAATTAATATATTATCTTACTTAAGAAAACGTTTTAGTTAAATATTAAAGGTCCTTTAAGTAAGAAGGTTAATGTGAGAATGCACGTCTAGGACAGTACAGGTTGATAGATTAAATTGACTACGAGGAGCGAAAGAGGTCCCAGGACCTGAAGCTATTTGAAGTTGAGCTCGTCGCCTCGTGGCTCACGTGACTAAAACCACATTCACTATACACAAATCAAAATCGTCACATAAGGTCCTCCCTTAATCCCCTGGATGCCAGTCTGTATCTCTCAAATCATTCCCCTCACCACTACTAGTAGTAGTGCTTTATGGGTCTTCTTCGGAGTCTCCTGTCTCTTCTAGCCCACGAATTTCCTGTTCTTTTGCCACTAAACGCTCCCTTCTACTCGGTTTCAACTTCCGAGGGAAGTCTTTCTCGAACTTTTTAATACTCCCGGAAGCCTTTATTATGTTAACTAGTGGTTCCCACGTCTCTTCGTCGTAACCCCTCCAACGGATCAGGTATTCAAAGCCGCGGGTCTTTGTGCGACGGCTGTCACAGATCTTGTCGATCAGATATTCTGGTTGGCCAGAAGCATCCACTGAAATAGGTGGTAGCGGGGGGTTCTTTTGTCCTGGTAAAGGCTTGCCAGGTGCTGGTTTCAGGCGATTGGTGTGGAATACTGGGTGGATACCGCTAAGCTCGTACGGGAGCTGTAACTCGTAGGCGTGGGAGTTGACGATTCTAGTAACTCGATAAGGTCCGATATACTTCTGATCAAACTTTGGGATAGGTTTTGCTGAGGTGATATTCTTTGTTCTTAGTAAAACCATGTCCCCAACTCTATAGGCCGGAGCAGGGCGTCGGTTAGCGTTTGCAAACTCTTCCATCTTATCTTGGGCAACACTGAGATTAGCTCGCAACATGGACAGGATATCGTCCATCTTTTGAGTAAACTCCAGTGCTTCGTTGTACCGCAATCGTAGGTGCTGAGGAGAATCCCTAGGGATAGAACGTGGTGAGCCGAAAGACATTCGAGGGTGATAACCGTGGTTTGCAAAGAAGGGTGACATGCCTGTAGAAGAGCTAGCTGCGTTACGCATTGCAAACTCTGCCATTGGCAGGAGCTTCTTCCAGTTGGTTTGGGCGTAATCGACGTATTGGCGGAGGAATTGGTTAAGCCACTTGTTCGCAATCTCCGTCTGGCCGTCTGTCTCAGGTTGGAAGGCTGTAGAGAGGCTGAGTGATATCTGAAGGATAGAGCAGACGCTTTTCCAAAAGTGTGAAACAAAGAGAGCACCTCGATCGGAGACAATAGTGTCTGGGAAGCCGTGGAGCTTCCAGACTTCGGCAACGAATAGCCAAGCCAGATCTTGAGCTGTCATAGTAGTATGGCAAGGGATAAAGTGGCGGTCCTTAGTTAGACGGTCTACCACTACCATGATCGAGTTGGAGCCATCANCTTCGGCAACGAATAGCCAAGCCAGATCTTGAGCTGTCATAGTAGTATGGCAAGGGATAAAGTGGCGGTCCTTAGTTAGACGGTCTACCACTACCATGATCGAGTTGGAGCCATCAACGGTCATGATTGGCCCAATAAAGTCGACAGAGATGTCCTTCCAGCGCTGAGCTGGGATGGGTAAAGGTTTGAGAGTGCCAGAGTACTTTTGCTGAGAGTGCTTGTTCAACGCACAGTTCTCGCATGCCTTAACAAATTGGTTGATATCCTGGTGCATCTTTGGCCACCAGTAGGCTCGTGACAGAAGCTCGTAGAGCTTGTTTGTGCCTGGGTGTCCGCTATCCATAGCGTCATGGCTTTTCTGGATTACCCAAACCCGTACCTCTGTGTCTGGAAGGTAGAGTCGATCACGGAAGAAGAGACGGTTATCGCGTAAATCACATTCCGACAGCGCTACCTCGCGAGAGTGAGGTATACCCTCCTCTTTATTCATTTCCTTGCTGATTCGTAGCCAAAACGGGTCTTTTTCGTAGCCTTGTTCTATTAGACGTTGGAGTGTTATATCGTCAGACTCCTCGCGAGCTTCCTCCCGAGCTTCCTCGATGTCTGCTGGGGAGAGCGAGAAATGGGGTCTTAATGAGGGGTCGAGATTATGGTCCTTAAGAAGTTGCTGGTCCTGAAACTTAATACGTTCGTCTTGGGCGTTCTGAGGTAGGTCTTGGGAGCGGCGGGTGAGAGCGTCAGCCTTGGTATTCTGTTTAGCAGAGATAGGCTTAATGACGAAATCAAAGTTCTGGAGGTTCTCGCTCCACCGTACCTGCCTGCGGGAGAGGTGTTTCGTGGTCATGAAATACTTAAGGTTGGAGTGGTCGGTGAACACTGATATAGGGAACGCGGAGCCCTGGAGTTCCGATCTCCAGGTCTCGAAGGCTCGGACGATGGCTAGAAGTTCCTTATCATAGATCTCGTAATTACATTCAGCAGGTTCAAAGGCCTTGGACATAAACGCAACAGGGTGCAAGTGGCCGTCGTTACCGTACTGAGATAGGATAGCTGCGGAGACGTAGTCGGAAGAGTCACACTCTAAAACAGCCTCTTTCTCTGGGTCGTAATGTAAGAGCACGGGTGCTGACTTGAAAGCGTCCTTAAGTGTCTCAAACGCTAGTTTACAAGCGTCAGACCAGAAGAATTTAACTCCTTTACGAGCGAGGGCGTTAAGTGGTTTGACGATATGCCCGAAACCGTGTATAAAACGCCGGTAAAAGTTTGCAAAACCTAAGAAAGCCTGGACATCCTTAAGACACGTGGGGTTCTGCCAGTTATCGATAGCGGTTACCTTCTCAGGGTCCATCTTCACTCCCTCGGTAGAGATAATCATACCGAGAAACTTAACCTCCTGAACCTCAAACTCACACTTATCAATATCCAGCTGGAGGCCTGCTTCGCCGAGGGCTCTAATAACCGAGTTGACATGTTTGCGGTGTTCGTCAAGGGTATCAGAATAGACAAGAACGTCGTCTATATACGCTGTACAGAAGATATCGAGGAAAGGACGTAGGACTTCGTTGATCCTAGCCTGAAAAGTGGCAGGTGCGTTGCAGAGTCCAAATGGCATAACCAAGGACTCGAAGAGGCCGTATCGGGTGTTGAAGGCTGTGAGCCACTCGTCTCCTTCTCGTATACGGATTCGGTTAAAGGCAGCGATGACGTCGAGTTTAGTGAAGTATTGGGCTTTGCTCAGGCGCTGGAGTGTCTCCTGGAGCAATGGAATTGGGTATCGATTCTTGATTGTGATATCGTTCAGGGCACGGTAGTCAACGCAAAAGCGTAAGCCGCCACCTGGCTTCTTAGCAAAAAGAACTGGCGAGGCTGCCGGAGAGGAGCTAACACGTATAAACCCCTTATCAAGTTGTTCTTTTAGGTACTTGCGGAGCACCAGCAGCTCCCCAGAAGTCATATTATATAGAGGGCCGTACGGGGGCTTAGTACCTGATTTGAGCTCAATCTTGTGATCGCAATCACGGTGGGGTGGGAGGATATCAGCATTCTTCTTGCTAAAGTACTGAAGGCTTTCGTGAAAATGGGGTGGAAGCTTAGAGGCTGGGTCGGTAGAGGGTTTCCCACGGTCGAGTTTGTCGAGTGCGATTTTGATATCATCTAGGGAGGCACCGGAGAGGTATAGCTGAGCTGCGAGCTGGTGACGTTCAGGGGGAGGTGGTTCTGGAGGGCTTCCGTAAAGCAGGTAGTCCTTGAGTGTGTAGGTCGGTGGCGTGTAGTGTCTAGAAGAGAAATCCAAGGAGGTTTGTGAATCCATAAGGTTGGTTTCCATAAGTGATGAGTCCCGCTTATGCTGCTTGCCTAGCTTGTACCCAGCGTCTAAAGTGACGTGGTAAAGCTTTGTATCAGTGTCGTCGTGAGGGTAGGAGACTTGAAGCTCGTCGAGTCTCTTGTCAATTTCGTATAAACTAAGCGAAAAGACCTCTACGCCACGCTTCTGAGTCAAGGCGTGGAAGAGGGCAGCGTTGATACGTCTCGGAGAGCCTGTAATAGGATCTTGAGAAGTGGAGTTCGTGTGCGTGTTCGTGTGCGTGTTCGTGTGTGTATTCGTTTGCGTATTCATGTGCGTGTTCATGTGCGTGTTTGATTTAGGGCGTGTGCGTGAGGGGCAGTAAACTGTGTGCGCCGGCCAGTCGTTCATCCTGGAAGGCATACAATGGTGTCGACAGAAGACTTTATTAAACTGGATCGTACGAGTAACCCAGTTTATATCAGGATTGTGCTTCACAAGCCAGGAATGGCCCAGAATCACTTCGCGTTCGTGGAGTTCAGTGACATAGAATCGTTGACGAGGATCGAGGTGGGAGCCTATTCTCAGATTTAATTCGACGTAGTGGGTGACACTCCCAGCTACTGAAAGAGATCCATCTACTGTCGTCAGGCGACGAGGGGTAGACAGAGGTAACAAAGTAAAGGAATGACGTTGCGCGAAAGAAAGATCAATAAAACCCCCAGCAGTAGCACCAGAATCGAGCATAGCGGAAGTAGTTACAGACAAAGGCTCTAGATCAGGATTTGTACTTGCTGTATCGACTAGAGTACAGGGAATCTCAAGTAACCCAGTTTGAGTCCTAATAGAAGAGATCTTTAGCTTAAGACAGCGTCTCCGAGAGCGACGATTCTCAGAGACTACGCATTTCCCGCCAGTTCTTCCTTTACTTCGGCAGAACAGGCACTAGCCTTCTTCTCCTTCTTCATCCGTTCCTTGAAGTCTCTCAACTTGGGGCAGGTGTCACGATCGTGTTCGCTGGAGCAACAGTAGAAGCAGAGCTTATGCTCGTAGCAAAAGTTGCGACGGGCATCCTTTTCAGCCTGGTTCTTGGTGCGGCGGCCGCTGTGTACATCTTCCCAGGTCCAGGCCTTAGAGAGTTGGTTGGCATC